CCCCGACTGGCAACCATACAGAATCATCTACAAGGGGGATGCCGATTATGTCGATAGTATCAACAAGGTCGCAGATGTGGTTGCCAAAGCTTCAGCAGATGGCAAAAACACGGCTGCTACGAAACAATTATTTGAACGCTTCTCCGAGACGACTACACAGATCAAGACCGCTAGAGTCGGCGATCATGGCCCTTATCTCATCGCCGCAACGGAACAAAAACTGAATCCGAAAGGGATCACCGTAGTGAAGGAGAAAGTTGGCACTGGTCAAAATCCTGTTGATGCTTCGAAAGTCTGGGAGACTGTTGACTGGGAAAAGACAATGGAGGGGCCGGTGACCGCTAAGAAATATACCGAAGCGGAGATACTCAAGATTACGGATGATACCAAGGAAGAATTCTACAACGGTGATTCCACTGCTCAGGACCACCGGGTAGTCATCCAATCTTACGACATTGCAGAGAATAAAGCGAAAGGGTGTGTCTAGGAGGGGCGCAAGACGAGATGCGACGATGAGTAGGCGACGATCGATGCCGGAGTGCAATAGCTAGTGTTGTATATATCTAGATATTCATATGCACGAAGATAGACAGCACAATAACCTCATAAAATCTCATTTGACGAACCGATCTTGTGTTGAATTTTGCCCCTTTAATCTATATCCGCAAGCTCTGATAGATTTAAACCAGTTTCGTTGTCCAGCGCGAATCGTATCTCTTCATCCAAGTCGTCCACATCAATAATTCTCCCTCCTTGCTCCTCACTCCAGTTATAGGCCATTTCCAGTTGAGGCCCGGTCAGTGAGAGCCCAGTGTGAAGGTCTAGAAACTTGACATTGTCCCTCGAACAATTTGCGTATCCAACACCGTTCACTGTCGAACCCCATACTAAGAAAGCTTCGCTTATCGCTATGTGCAGCTCCCTTAGTGCTGGGAATCTCTGCAGCATCCTATTACTATTGTGGAAAAAGTAGCTGTAGAATTGATCGCCATAGTCTCCCGTCGGCGTCGTAAACCTAAGCCTTTGAATATCGGCTTCATGTGGTGTCAGACGTTCAACTCGATGATCGGCGAGACAGATCATGTCTTGCTCAAAGTTGACCCAGATGTATCTGGTCTCGGGTTCACCGGCCAATGTGCTAGTTGTGAAGAAGGCTTTCTGATAGGACGAATTCTGGCGAGACTCCTGACACACGTGCAGCACAGCCGGCGGTGCTATCGGCGATGCATAGCCAAAGTCGGCCCTTCCAGGGAGAGAATCGCTTAATTTTGGTATCACACGGACGTGAAGGATACGGGGACTAGCAGCTAGGGCCCAGACCTGGATGCGAAGCTCAACTGGAAGGTGTCCGAAGAGATTGAAGGTAGTGGCCATGATGGAAGGATTGAGGAGTCGACGATATCTTCGCGCCCAGCTAATGAAGAGTCGTTGATATAACTTTGTCAGCCAGCTGAGCCACCCATATAATATCGATGATACGCTGCGGGCAGGCGGCACAGTATACGACGTATTGTGGAACTAGTGATGACGGAGAGTGTCCTTTTGCGGTATCGCGTAACAAATGAGGGCGGAATGTAGAAGTAAAAACTAGCTGCCTCGACCGAGAACCGTGCTATAAATCGTGACCGAGAGCCGTCTCGTCGAAATGTGACCGATTACCGTTTTATTTATATCGCCAGGTTCAATGCCTTGTCGCCGATCAAATTAAAGTGTGCGTACCTTACATTAATCTCTTGCCTATCAAGGTTAATGGCGTGGCTTGGCGATTATGTCTAACCTCCAGAAAACATCGTGTACAACAGCGCCGCAACAAGCTAGTCAGGGCGAGACTCCAATGATCGAGCTAGCAGCTACTGTTGAGTACAAGTCTGCCTTATGTTTACTAAAGGTCGGTAACTTGCCTGTCTTAATTGGGCAGAGGCGCACGAGACAACTAGCGAGTATCATGCCGACGTTGATCAATTGGTGACATGAAGGTACATAACGCGGAAAAGTGAACGAGTAAAGCATTGTGGCCGAGTCAGATGGCAAGAAGATAAGGGGTTATTTTTGTCCAAAATTTTCAGCTTCCTTCTCATCAATCTGGACCTACTGCTAGCTATCTGGTTCTCATGTCGGTAAAGGAGAGAGTGTATCCGGCTCTACTTGAGCTCAGCCAGTATTCGTTCGCGCCGGAATCACTTTCACCCTGAGCTTCCTCGTCGAACCCTCTTCTTCTCCTCGAGGCTATCTTGTATTATAGCAACATTTACTTGCCATCTACCAATACCTACCACGCTCGTTCATTTTCAGAAGTAGAAACACCAGAAGGGTGAGACGGCCACACACTGTCACGATGAAACTCACGTACACTTTTGCGCTCAGCTATAGCATCATTCTAGTGGCAGCAAGTCCCCAACCTCTGCTTCAATGGGATCCAGCTACTATTTCTTCCTGTGTTGAGTGGTTCAACAATGGCGGCTCAGACACTTGCGAGTATGTTCGCGCTCTGTTTAACATCACCCCTCAGGACTTCCACACTTGGAACCCGTCAGTCGGCTTGGACTGCACGCCGTGGCAGTATCAATCCTACTGCATCTTGACTAAGGAGAGGCTCTCGAGCATCACCACCACAACTACCCCTCCCCCGACAACGACAAAGACTACAACTACTCATGTGCCATCCCCTACTATGTGGACTCCATTGGGATGCTACACGGACGACGACCCGACATATCCCGTCCTGGAGAAGCAAATCAGCACTGCCGACACGAACCTCACGATTCGGTCATGTGAGGATTCATGCTGGAAAGCTTCCAATCTCACTGTGCTATATGCCGGTATGAAGCAAGGCAACCAATGTTGGTGTGGCAGCTTTGTAGGCGGCCAAACCTCCAGGAATCAGACAGATTGCAACAGCCCCTGTACCGGAAATGCACAAGCCAAGTGTGGTGGCAAGGCCAGGATCAATGTTTGGGAACCGGTAACTACAAAGGCGCCAGTGACTACTACGACCACAGCAACTACCAAGCCCCCTGTGACTACCAAAACATCAACAACTACTAAACCGGCGGTCACTACCAAAACGACAACAACCACGAAACCACCGGTGACTACTAGCTCTAAGTCTACTACTAAGGCTGCGACTACATCAAAGTAAACCACTGAGGCAGGGGAGTGTTACGACATGTTCAGATGAGGAGTGGCATTGTGGAAGCTAAATCATTGATTGGATACATTGTTTTTGCCCGCTGCATTAGCTAGGGAAACCTGAGTGCTGCTATGATACATCACCATCACCCTTAACTATGACCAGTATGTAGCCAGTGACAAAAGTACAAGGAAATTGGCCTACAGACCTGGCCTTTAGGCTCCTCATTCGTATACAATTCTTCAAATCATCTATTTTTGTGATTCAGGCTGCCGCTTTGATGCTAATCCGATGAAATGCATTGACTTCTGCTCATGCTATGTGATGATTACATGTGACATCCTCACAGCCTTGGCTACAAGTTGAATGGAAAATCGTGAATAGCTAAGGATAACCGAACAGCAATATGTTTAGTATGGAACCTAGGATGTGAGACTTCGCGACCTGAAAACGCACTCGCACGAAGGACATCAGTGGTGGAGAGCAGGTAAGTCGTAGGTAGGTTCATTTTCAGGACAGAGAAGTTAAAAAGTGAATTAAACCCTCTCTAGATATACTTCATATAGCGCCATCGATTAATTTCTGATTTTTTTTTCTTTCTCTTTGCAAATGGGAGTGAACGGACTTATATACACGCAAGCTCTCTGATATAGCCCCCTTATAAAGCCAAGGCCCTGACAATTGGACTCAGGGGTTAGCTATCAATCTTCTCAGTTCTCGAGTCCTTTCCTTAGGCGATTGAAGTTCTGATACCTAGATACCTACTTGAAATCATTGCTGGATATATCCTAGAATAGTACTAAAGAATCCTTACAGCCCTGCCGTATGACACCTAGGTACATAGAGCTGGAACCAGATCATCATACCGGTCGTTCAGCGTAGTAACTAGAGTATCACAAGTCGATATATGAGACCTCACAATAATAGAATAAAATTTAGCTTCAGAGCCAGTCATCTGCTTATTCAAATTTGGATTGGAATATATTACATGTAAATCCATGATAACCAGTAGCCTGTACGCGCCAGCAAGTAGAGTAGTTCAATTGGCGTCAAGCAAGTGAGAGAGTCAACAGCGATTCTCGGCCCATTGCGCTACAACAGAGGTAAAGCTTAAGTTAGAACTATTATCTTTGAAGTGATGATTAGAGAGATATACTACAAATCGCCCTCCTCAGCCTGATCATTCGTAAGAATGCCGTGTATGATAAGTATCTGGGTTGTACGCAGTGGTGAAAATTTAGTAATAGAGCCTATTGCTCATACAGTCTTCAATCAGTTAATATTCACGACTACACGAACCGTGCTCGTCAATATCAGTATCTGATTTTCTGAGCCCATATCTTCTGATCGAAGCCCTTAGATAATTAACCTAGTCTGCACGATCTGCAATATCGCAGACGACCATAACTGAAGCGCTAAGCAATAAAATCACTATATATCCGATTCGCGACTAGAGAGAAGATCGTCTCCGATCCGCACGCAGGATCGCTAGCGACCAGTCTTATAGAAATTTCCCGATGCGCGAAACTGCATTGGGGCCGCCGAGCAAATCGGCTACTTGATCGGACTAGAGTATTCGAATTTAGGGCAGATAGTTAGAGCCTGTTGAGCCTTCGACTCGTGCTCAATAGCCCAAAGAAGTACTTAGGCCAATCCCGACCGGCACCTCCGTCCAATATCTAGAATGAAAATGTTCCCTACGTCCCCCTCCGCGTTCGGTGCACCGCGGGGATCCGACCAATCCGGTCTCGGACAATGCACAGTACTTCTGCGCAGCGACTGACCAACCAAAACCCCGGTCCCTTGAACAATAGAGTTAGGACCAGGACGTTCTATCAAGCAACAGCAAGAAAAAATCAGATGATCCAATGGCCTCGTGGCCCAATGGCAAGGCGTCTGACTACGAGGAATGTCTAGTCCGATAAATCACTTCGGAAATGGATAAGTTCATGGTAATCAGGAGATTCTGGGTTCGACCCCCAGCGAGGTCAAATTTTTTGGATTATTTCACTCGCATCTTTAGTGTGCATATCGACTTTTTTTCTTTTAATCGATCCTTGAATGTGCCTCCATTTTATTGCTAGTGATTCACGCGACACACTGCTACACCAGATGATTCTACTGATAGTATTGTTTGATACACGCAGAGATACACTCAATAGTCTAGGATATACGCATGCACGAGGTGGCAAAAGACTTGACATTATTGGACTTTCGTCGTGTATGGGTATTAATGAGGTTATCGGGGTAAATGAAATCGGGGGTATCCATGATCACTTTCTTGTCTTCCGTGCGTGTTTCACGAGATTCTCTATGACACCCTCGAACGCTTCCCTGTCGCCAATTTTTTCGTCGGTGCGCTTCTTCCAAAATTCGTGCACTTCATTTGCTAAGACCTCCATTGCTTTGAGTTTCTTTACGTGCAGCTGGAGTTCCATGTCCGTCATCCCTCTCAGGGCCTCTTCCGTCGTGGCACATAATTGTTTTGCTGCAACTAGGTCAAAGTCCGGATTTGGAGGAGGGGCCTTTCGCTTTTTCGATCCGCTCCTGGGTTTCTCTTTGCCCTGTGAGTCAACCGAGACCGATGACCTGTTATTATCTGATTTTCGGAGTCGAGATACAGAACGGGAGTCCGTAGAAGTGCGGAGTGAACCGTTTGATGTAATTCGATGAAGAGATGGAAGGACTAGTTTCTTCTGTTTAGACGCAGGCAGAATCTCGTCTAGATCTACAGGCACACCAAGCGACACCAAGAAAAGTCTTCGAATACGTGAACGGATCCAGTCGGGAGGTTGAAGGGGAGGTGGTGCGGCCAACTGTGACCATAGCGATGCGCTCCTCGGGTTGAAGAAGATGGGATTGTCGTTTGGAGGCGAGGGTAGTGGGGCAATATCGAGTACATCAGGCGGGTATAGTGCATCCAAGTAGGGCTCAGAGCTGGCCAAGATGTCTTCAGAGTCTAGCCCGTCAAGATCTAATATGGGCTTCAGGCACATAGAAGTTAGTATGACTGTAGTAAAGCTACCTAAGAAGGGTACTAGACACACAAAAGAAGGTATGGAAACTTGTTGCTGGTATGTCAGCGAAGGAGCGGCCGCATGCGCTGCGGCCTGCTGTTGGAAGCCATCATCAAATTCGCCGAAGTCTGCGTCTTCATCGCCCTCCTCAAAATCGTCGAAGTCGTCGCCAAAATCATCGTCGTCATTGGTCTCCTCATCGTGAAGACTTGTGATGGATTTGGCTGCCGAAGACTTTCTCCGCCCCCGCATTGACGGAGACTTCAGTGCCGGGTTCACGGCCGCGTCATCTACGAAGGCACGGTCAATCGCAGTGTGGAGGTGGAGTTTAGAAGAACTTGGTTGTCGTACCGGTGTCTTGTGTGCTGGCGTCTTGGGATGTGGGAGCAGTGCTGGGAGTGTTGGGCTTGCTGGTGCCGTCCGGCTTCCGAATGACGTCTGGTGCAGCGTCTGCTTGGTGTAGGTTCTCGCTGGAGCTCTGGGAGAAGGATCCAGGGAGGTCGTCCGTCTCGTCGACGACGGTTTTGGGGATGCGAGGGCGTTCCGAGGCGTTGGCCTGGTCCGATGAGGGCGCAGTCTCGTCATCTTGTACGATGGCTATTTCGTCGGGCGACGCATCTTCCGTCCGCTTTTCGTAGGCCTCGGTGCCTGGGACTTCGCCATAGGAGGGCTGGTCGTCCACCTTCTCCACCCGTGTTCTCGGTATGGGCGAGACGGCGCCAGAACTATTGCCAAGGGCCGACTGGGCGTCTGAAAAGTGCTCGTCGGAATCGAAGGCTTCTACGGCAATACATGTTAGGCCGTGAGAAGAGACATCGGATGGGCTCTTGAAGAGAAGACATGCTGACCTAACTCATGCGCTCCGGGGTCCTCGGTGCCTGTCCTGTCGGGCGCCTCGAGGCTGGACGACGGTCGGCGCTCTTTAGACATGCTGGGAAACGGATCGACAGAAGGTCAAGCGCGATACTGCCTGCTCGCGACCGAGTCGCAGACCGGCCTTGGCTTCAGATGCCTCTAGGGGCTGGCACAGGAGGGTGGACGAGTAGGTAAACTGAAGATCCGAGGAGCTATGAAGCTGACCTACTGCTCGGCCGGTACAGTGAGACGGGGCGGCGTTGAAAGAGCCGATGCACAAGTTTAGGTATGGACAGGTAGAGCTGTTTCGATTGACAAAGGTCGATTGCTTAGGGTTGAAGTTGATGGAAGCTTGTAGGTAGCTTATAATTATTACTAGGGGACCGGGTCGGAAAGAGATGTAGTTGGATAGGACTCTAAATGCTTTGCCCTCGGCAGGGCAACACTCGAGATCGGGATTGTGCTTAGGGGATCGAAGGCCCTAGGCCTCTTGGATGGTTGAGGCCGGAGGTGCACTTTTAGAAATATGCGGCACCCATAGGAGAGGCAGGCATGGTTACTGGATCGTTACTGGATCGATCAGCTTACAGCTTGCCTACTTGGTACAAGCAGCGTGCCCATCCGAAGGTGGTCTAGACCGCTTGGTCCAAGTCCTTGGCGGCAGATGGTATCCAAGTACTCCGTAACTGCCACCTACCTGACGGAAAAGCTGGGCTGGGCTAAGCCTATCTCGGGCATTAAGTGCCTACAACTTGGAAGCTGTGCAGGTTCACAGGGATGCGCCCCTACCTCCACGAAGTATTTCGAAATGCAGTTCAGAAGTTTACTTGAGCATGCCGCTTTAAGCCCCTGCCTAGCCCGAGCCTTGGCTTGAGCAGTACAGATAACATGCAGATAATTATCTATATAACTTACGAGTATCATACGATACCTAAATATTTGTTTGAGGGCTTGCATAACTTAACAAACGGAGAGTGTCTTCAACTTGAAGTTGTATAAGAGAACGCTGACTCTCCGTTAGCAGTCGAATGAAATCTCCACCTACGCTGTGACGGTTGCCATGGTTGTAGTGGCTATTATAGCCAGGTGTGGTTGTGGCTAGAAAAGACAGCAAGCCTACTGAACTTGAGGAGGCTGGAACGTTAAGGAGGCATGGAAGCCACTGTTTTAGTACGAGTCTCTGGGAGATTTGGATACTTAAATGGGTATTCTCACAATATTCAAAACAAACAATCGCTCTACAGATGATCCAATCTCAGGCCAATGTTCGTCTATTTCCGAATTCTCGTCCCTGAAGTTCCACCCAGACTACTGACCGTGGGGATAATGCTGCTTGATGTCCTCCGATGCATACTACCCGAATGCACAGTCCAACCTTGTTCTTGGCTAAGAGTGATGACTTCCGAAAAGTCGAGGCCAGCCTTGACAATGACGAGTCCATGTCTATTGACGAAGACAAAATCCTTTTTCGGGGTCATGGCGCACAGCATGTCTCCGTTGACATTCAGCCACTCTGAAAGAATGAAGAAATGCCTCTTTCCGTATGGAGCGCTGTTGAAGGTGTTTAGATCAAGGCTGCAGATCCACATGTCTCTGTCAATAAATATCAAGGTCGATCCAACTACAGCGATAACATCGCGTAGGACTGGAGTCAGAAGTCCAATCTTTGATCCTAGAATCCTGGTGTCTGCTATCGAATCTGAGGAGACTATGTCCCAGCAGAAGAGGTGAGTACCGGATGTTTCACCTATAGACTTCACAGCTTCGACAACGGGTGTGCTGCCGTGATAGGTGGCATTGACGAAGGTACCTTTGCCTGAAGATAAACCGTCTCGATGTACGGGTAGCCCCTTTCCGGGTGTAAGCTCCTTGAAGTCTGACCAGTCGAATATTCGAGCTACAGTTGCTGTGAACATGATGAACGCGTTTGGTGCCTGTGGATGTACAATAATTGACCGAAGCCCGTTTTCATCAGGTGTTCGTGTGCTGATCACCTTGCCTGAAGGTAATTCCCAGAGTTCATCCTTTTCTTTCCCCATGACCAGGAGGCGGTCATTCTCTGGATTGGCGAGCAAGCCGAAAACGGCGCTGTTAAATCTTCTGTCTGTTATTAGCTTTGTATGCAGCCCACCTGAGATGTCGGCCATTAAGATCCTCCCAGCTTCATCCGCAGATACCACAGTACGATGATGCTCAACCATAGCAATAGCTACCACCGACGTCCCACGAGTATGTCCGTAAAGTACATTCATTTCTTGGCCGTCCGCTACTGAATAAAGCGCAACTTCGCCACTAGTCTTCCCACAAATTACCCGTTCTCCATCGGAATGGCATACTATAGAGGTGATTTCCGGATTGGACGGGCCCTCTAAAGTCCCAAATGTCCTTGGAGAAAGTGTAACCTGGCTACTAATGTCGCTTTGACTTCCTACATCAACATCCTTCTGAACTAGAATAGCTGGCTCCCATACACGGGCCTGCGATTCTCTGCAGTCAATAAGACGTAAACCATCGTCACTAAATATCACACTTCTCACGCCTTCCTCATGAGAGTTGATACGATATATCAGTGATAAAGATGTGCTTTCAGGCCCATCGAAGTCGTATACCTCGATCGTACCGCGTGAATTGCCTGTAACTAGGCTTTTGCCATCCGTCGAGCAGGCCAGTGCATGCGCACATACATTAGACCTTTGATATCGGAGTTCTGTTGTGTGTGGATCGAAGACCAAAAGATCCCCATCTGTGTTGGAAACAACTAACGCGGATACGTCTGTGTTTGGGTTGAAAACCATTGCGTCTATTCCGTTGCTTTTCACGGAGTTGCAAAGGCCTAGCAGAGCGCCTGACCCAGTGTCAACTATCAAAATCGGATGACTGCGATACCCGATCGCAAGCAAACCCAATTCGGGTGCGAATGCAGCTTTGTTAGGTGGTTGATCAGGAATCTCGGAATTGTCTTCGCCTCCGTCCCAGGACACGGTCAGGACTTCGCCGGTGTCTACATTACTGCGCTAGCAGTTAGCAATTTGAAGTAGACTGGCAAGGCACATGGTGTAAAGCAGGTGTATATTACCTGGTAATGATCTGATTTGCTCGATTGGCATGGATCAGCAATT